AAAAAGATAAAAGGATGACATTGGAGAGGAAGAAGAAGAAAAAAAAAAAGAAGCTCAAAAGAAGACTGGGAGGGGAATTTTAAAAGAAAAAAAAAAAAAAAAAGAGGGGCTGCTTTCTGTGGATAAAGAGGAGCCCTTTTGGACACTCGGGGCTGCTGGGATTAGGGATCAGCTACAGCATTCATGCACACCGTAAGCATGCTTACATCCACACACACACACACACACACCTGAGCATGACATCTCCTCCGCTCTCCCTTCCCACTTTCTCGCTCTCCTCTGTGTTGAGCCAAGACCCCGCCTCCCCCCCCGACTTCCACCACCACCACCACCACCACCACAACCGCCGCCTGCTCCTGTACGATAGCGTGACACGTATACCGGCCTCGGCTGCAGGACAACTGGAAGAATCGCTCTCCGCTGCACGACCTTGCATATTCAAAACCACACATCAGATTCGAAGAACATCATCTGCTCTCACCTCCCCGTCCAGACACTTAACATTCCTTCCTGATTTCAAGAGAAGACACATCCACACACAAAAGGTGGACCCATTCATATTTATGACGCTCTGCTCCTCATATCTCGGACAATATACGGAGAGGTGGTTGATTTGAATCGGCTGGTGGCTACTAACGTGGAAACAGGCAAATAAAATTAACAAAAGCAATCCTAATAATGTGTCTACATTTCCTCTTGTTGAAAAAATTATTCTGCTTTTGCAGGAGCATGAATATGTGCAGGTTTGTTTGTCTGCCTGACACACCGGCGTGCTGAATCTCCCATGCATGGCCTCAGCCTGCCGTTCACCCAAAGAGGGCTCTCTCCGACCGAGGGACATGGCAGCAGCAGCAGCAGCAGCAGCAGCAGCAGCAGCAGCAGCAGCAGCAGCAGCGAGCTCCCCCACGGTGCCGGTGCCCGAACTCGGAAAGGTGGGAGTTAAGGAGGGAGATACGCAGAATGAGATGGAGAGAGGAGGAGAGGGAGAGGCACAGTGAAGAGGAGGAGAAGGGGTTATGACAGCCAGAGGCGCTGTCTCCCTTTTTTTTCCTCTGCGTTGCCCCCCAAAACCATGAAACAAGCCTATCCAACGGCGACTGCTATCCCCCCCTCTTCATCTCAACTGGACGTGCTGCTCCCACTCACGCAGCCAGACGGCATCTGAATCCTATGAATGTACCTGTCGTCTGTAATCGAGGGGGACCAGGTGCGAGAGAGTGGTGGACGTTGTTGTGCATCATCAGTGGCACCTCCACAGCAAAAAAATCTTCCTTCGTGTAGCAGCGCTCCAAATATCCTCTTTATGGTGTGAATAACAATCAGAGCAGCAACACTGATGTAGCAAATCCAACACATGCCCTCAGTGGATCCACAGCATCACTGGAATCACGTCCTACAACAACCACGACCACAAACACGCCATCTGAGCTCAACCTACATGGAAAACTACATCAGATGACACGTTCTAGGAATTTGGTGTAATTTCCAGAAGCGTGTTGGTTTAACAGCACAGAGATCAGCCCAACCAGCTCCATGATGACAATAAAAAAATATTATAAGAGGAATATTTAGAATGAACTACTGAGAGAAATACTTGCATTTATTCTGAACAGCTTATTTAACTGCAAACCCACAAAATCACCACCTAAATGTTAAAAATAATAAAATGTTTTTAACAAAAAAAATAAATAAAAAAAGGATTTTTAAAAATGAAAATCTAGCCTTGATAAACACATGAAATAAGTCTGACCACAGTGATTTTAAATTTTTTGTAAAAAATGGCCCAATTTTCAATTAATTTCTAAAAAACGCTGCCTGTGGTTTAAAAAAAAAACAAAATCACTCTGCTGGCACTTTAACATCAACACCTCCAGCATCACAGTGAGAGACGAGCCTGAGATGCTACAGTTAGCGACACCAGAAACACAACAGCTGACAATATTTGAAATAGAATACATAGAAATAAAGCCAGTGACATTCCTATAGCTTTTTTTTTTTTTTTTCCTTTTCCCCACCCGGAACTGTTATAATTAAACATAAATATGACAATGAGCCAAAGACGGGGCGAGGGGGGGGTGAAATCAGACAGGTGAGATGACAGTAAACATTTCTGCTGTCTTTGTTTTGTAACAGAAGAGGGAGAGAGGGAAGGGAAGGGAGGAGGAGGAGGAGGAGGATGAGGAAGAGGAGTGTTACTGTCAGAAAAGGAGGAGGAAGGGGAGATCACTGGTGTTTTTTGGCACAGCAGCCTACCTGTCCTATGTGACACCTTTACCATCACTGGCATCACACAAGTTGCAGATAGAGAAAATTTTTTAAAATAAAAAGCACGAAGCAAAAAAGGATGAATAATGATTGAAAGTTGATTTAAAATAAAAACAACAAGCCCCTGTTTCTCACAATCCCTCCCTGCTCTGCTCCTCTCCAGTCTGAAAGGTAGGATCTGTTTACCTGACCTCTCCCCCTGATTGCTCCTCCATGGCCCATGGCTATCTGACCCCTCCGCTCTCCCGCCCCTCCTTTCGTTAAGCGAGGAGAGGGGATGGGGGGGTTTCTAACTCTCTCTCTCTCTTTGCCTGACAGCCTTGTTTTTATTTTATTTGTTACCGGGTCTATTTTTGTTTCTCCCATCCTAAAATAAAGCCAAAGTCTTAATCCTGCAGATGCTGACAACCGTACATGGGGGCTTTTGTGTGGCTCCCCCCCTCCACCACCACCTCAAATAAAAAAAAACCATAACCAACCATCACCCTCTCCTCTCCCAGCCACACTCTCTCCCCCATTATCCCTCGGCTGTTTTTGGCGAAGGGGGTTTCCTCTCTTTCTTTTTTATCTCTGCACTCACTCCATGACCCCTGTTCCCCCTGTTTCTTGCTGTCTGACCTCCCTCCCTCCCTCCTCTCCTCTCCCTCCCCCCTTCCTCACCCACACAGCTTCTCACCCCCCCTTTCTGTCCTCCCCCCCTCTCCCTATCCAACTGAACACACATCCTATCATTGCCTCTTGCTCGCTCGCAAAACCTTCTATTTTTTTGTGTGTGTGTTGCCTCTCTTTTCTTTTCCTCATCTCTATGTCGCGAAAAATATCTTATAATTCTCGCCGTTTTTCTCTCCCCCTGTATACAGACATGCAGAGCAATCCCTCCCGAAAAGTAGCTTTTTTTTAAAAAATGGAGATATTTTTTTTGTGCCATTACGCGTAAAGTGCGCTTTTCCGATCACATCCATTTTGGGGGTAAGATAAGCATCAGTGCACTTCTAGGTGGTCATAAAGTAGATTTTTTTTATTATCTTTTAAAAAAAAAAAGAGGCCTTCTTGCTGTCTCTTTGCAAAGCCGTGTGTTTTTTCCACCGACAGTGCAGCCTTGTTCTATTTTTGGGTAGGTGGAGGATATCTTGTAGTAGTTTGACTTTTGTTTTTCCAAAAATCCTGCAAATGTTAACTGGCTGAAGCGGCTACTAAACGCATGCAGTGACCTACAGGTTTAGCCTGGACCATGCTTTAAGTTTCCGGCTGTAACTTTGGACTGATTATGCCTGCTTGAGGTCAGACGAGCAGGGCAATGTTGTTGTTGTTTTTTTGTTTTCTTCCCGGTCAGCGTTTCTCGGGGAAAAAAGAAAATAGCTTCTCTTGAAAGTCAGATACGGTAGCCAAGTAGTTGGAGGCAGCAGCAGCAGCAGCAGCAGCAGCAGCAGATCCAGCCTGTGTCTGTCTCCTTTCCCCCCCTTGAACCACATGTCTGCTCTGTGCACAACGCAGCAGCTCAGAGATCTCAGGCTGTCCGCGTACAAGGTCCTGCTGATCCGCTTCTTGTCATGAAGGAGACCCGGGGCTCCGTTTTTTCCTCCAACACGCCACATTCACATAAACGCACACACGCTCGCAAACACACACATATACCAAAAAAAAAAACCCTCCACACGCGCGCACACACACACACGCAACACACACTCAGCGCTCACACACACTCATGCCGATCGATTTGCATGTGACTCCGTCAGTGAATGAGCGAGAATCGACTCAAAAACAAGGCTTCAAAGAGGCAAAGAGCTATGAAATATAATATATAAAAAGCAGAGAGGTGGACAAAGTGGGCTAAAGAAGGGGGCAAAAGTGTAGCTTAGAGGAACTGGAGGCAAAGGGCGGAGGGATTGCACATTTCAGACAGAGACGTGTCGGAGAAGAACAAAAAATGTCTTTATCCAGAAGAGGATTTTTTTTTTTTTTTTTTTTTTTTTAGAAGCACACGACGGTGCTGAAAACCCCCGTCTGGATGTGGCAAGTGTCAAATCTGTCAAAAATGTACAAAGCGAGAGACGGTTCCCCCCTTCTTCGTCTTCTTCTGCTGCTGCTATGTCTTTTTCCCTTTTTTTTTTTTTTTTTTTTTTGCCGGACGCACACGGACCCACAGGCTGGACTTGGAGCTCCTTTCCTGGGCTGCGCTCATGTGGAGCTGCCGCTGCCCTTCGTCCGCTCCGCGCAGCTCCCGTCTCGTTACTGCATTCTCTCTCTTTCTCCCCCCCTTCTCTATTCTCTCTCTTCCCAAAGAAACAAACCAAAAAAACAGCAACAAACACGTCTCTCGACAACCATAAGCCCTCTACACGTCCCCACGATCCCACCGAAAAGCACGGATTTGTTTCAAAACCGTGCTTTTCCACGACCAACTGCCGGTGGAGTGGATCGCTTGTCTTGCCCGTTTTCTTATCTTCCATTCATGAGGAGAGGAGAGGACGAACGCTGATGTAAACACAGGTAACGATACCAGCGAAAATCGAGAATAAAAGCCAGAAAAAACTACTTGCATGAAATGAACTTGTGATCGCCAGTCATTGCTCACGACGTGAGAATAGCCAGCGAGAAGGAAAGAAAGGGAAAAAAGCCCCGCTGCGTAAAGTACGAACAGATAGAAAAAGAGATCCAGATAAGTCACACAAGCGAAAAGAATAGGATCGTGGAAACAGAGAGGAAAAAGAGACAAACGCAAAGTTGAAACTTACAATTTCTCGCTGCCGCTTTGTGATCCTCGCTTTTTAATCCAGTATTGAGATGATTTAGCTAAAGATCCCATCAAGGCAGTCCCCTTTTGGTCAGTTTGCGCTTAGGGTGGCAAAAGAAAGATCATTGTTGTTGCGGAGTGTAAAAAAAAAGAGAGACCGAAGTAGGTACTATTAGTTGTTAAAGGCAATATAAAAATAATTTGGATGCAAAGCAGGCGATGAGTCTTGTGTTAGAGGGAGCGAGGAAGAGGTGAAAGTGAGATCTGATGATTGAAAAGAAAAAACTCTTTGGATCTTTATTCCTGCTAATTAGTTTCCTGCAAAAAATGGCTGTGATTAATTCAGTGCGCATGTGCTTCATTACACAGGCACGAAGGGAAGGGCTAATTAGCCGCCTTCTGGATCAATAAGATTCAGCAAAGGAGAGAGCTCGGGAGAGAGAGGGAGGGAGGGAGGGAGAAAGAGGGAGGGAGGGAGGGATGGATGGATAGATACAAGTAGGGAGAAGAGGGAGAAGAAGAGGAGAAAAAAAAAAGAGGAAAGTAATGATCAGGAATTGAAAATATGGAATTAAGAAGAGCGGAAAGTAAGAGTTTGATTAGACGGAAGACAGTGAAAGTTAACGGCGGCGCGGCGCAGCTTCCCTCCGCGCCTTCACACTTTTTCTTTCTTTTTTAATCCAGTTTTTTTTTTCTTTTATGCATTTATATAAAAAAAAATCAAAGATACGCACAAGCGGCGGCCACTAAAAGTACACAAGCGATCCTGTTTTATTTTATTCTGTCCTCTTTCAACCTCCTTTTTTTTCTACTTTTAGTCGCGCCAAAGCTTCTGATGTTAAAGCGCCGTTTCTTTTTCTTTTTTCTTTACTCTGTGAGTTTAACGTTTGGACAACTTATAGAAAAACATAACATGATTTTCGGGAAGAAAAAATAAAAAATAAAGAAATAGGCAGAGTGGAGGCTATCCAAGTGTGACCTGCGCGTAAACAAGTAAAAACCAACAAAGGAGGAGAAAAAAAAAGTCCCAAAAAAATTAAAGAAGCACGTTTAAGGCGATTTTGTGCATCTATGCAAAGCAGCAGCGGTGAGAGCAACGTATAGATAGACAAGGCTGTGGCTGGTGTAATCTGCAAAGAACAGAGCTTAGCATAAGTACAGTGGCACCTGGATATTATCAGAGCCAACGGTGTATTTGAACCGGGGGGGTATATATTTTAGGCATTAACAGAAAAATACCACTTGCTCAGAGGCGAGAAGTTGGCATTAAATAGTCCTCATGCGTGCCTTCGCCAACTTTAATAAACTTCATGCGTCGCATTCCACCGAATCTTTGCGTATTTTGAAAAACAAAAAGCTTAAATTGAATTTAAAATATATTAATTGAATGTGTTTCACGATAAGAGAAGTCAGAGCAATAGGTGCTCCTCAACTTATACACATGGTGTGTGTGCATGCATTCATTTGGAATAAAAATATAGATATTTAAGGCTTCTTGGGAGAATTTAAAATCCAGCTTTCTAAAATATAACGTGGATAAAAGTAGAGATGATGTAGAAGATGTGTCGCTTTTTTTGCTTACAGTTGCTGTCAGCTCAGAAATATCAGCCCAAGTTAAATTCAACGTAACATCTGACTTTGTGATATAAAATAAATTAATTGTTTTAAGCATGTGAGGGACGAAACAGCACAAAAGCTTCAATATGTATATTTTCTTTTACTGAAATTTGGAAACTCAGCTGCTTTTGTATGAGGACAGGATGCAAAAAAACAAGTCCAGCTGCTTTTTAGAAATACTTGTTGAAGCCTCACTGTGTCCTGTAACAGACTTTATTTAAATATGCACAACATGTAGAAGGACGGAGAGGAGTTTAGGAATAATAATAATAATAATAATATGAGCAGGTTTGTTGTGATCCAGCTCACCAGGGACACACTGATGGCTGATGGGGAATCAGGCTATCGTGACATCTATTGCCAAACTGCTGGGAACACGTTGTCAATAGGTTATCCTAAATAATAATAATAAAAATAACAATAAGTACAGTAGAAAGGTGTGCCAGGGCTCCGGCCTCAGTCCTGCTCTGATAACATGACAGGAAGCCCAGATGGTCAGTGTCTCCTCTGGAGGTGTTTCGTGATTTGGAATTTCTACAAACCTTTATGATCAGAAATCAGTTGAGGTTGTCCGGTTTGTAACTGTTTATTATTATTAATATTATTATTGTTTTTATTTGCTTTAACCCTCCTCCCGTGGAGCCTGTGGAGCTCATGTCCCATCGTTTCCCTCCGAATGTATTCCCAAAAAAAAAAAAAAAAATCAACCTTTGAGCCTCTCTGTGCTCTTTGTTATGATAATTTTATTGTTGATTCTCGGAGGAAGTGGACAATCCCTGGCAGCCTCAGTATGCACACTTTCTGTGCAAACAGCTCCATATAGAGTCGCTGGTCCACTGAGTGCCAGTGGCAGCCTTCACTGATCACATAACGTGCTGTGTTTATTGAAACAATACGGATGCGTTGGGCTGCGGCTGCTCTGCTGAATTCCGATGCACAGTTGATAGATAAATGGCAAAAAAAAAATGTAATCTAAAAGAAGAAATAATAAAAAAATAAAATAAAATAAAACCGCTGGCCGAGACATCCTGACCAGCTCCAGGTAGCCATCAGACTGGTGTTACTGGAAACACACAGAACTGGGCTGATAACACGGCCTGAGATGTAGATTTCCTCACAGATGATTCTTTTTTATTTTTTATTTTGCACAGCTTGCACACAGAGCTGAGGAGCCTTTTGTCATGTTGTAGTGGCGGCTGATGAAATGTAGAGGCTGTATTTGATATTTTGCATGGGCCTTTGGCTGAGAGGTGAGGAGGTTATGGAACCCCCCCACGGGACGCGCGTCTCTACACATCCAATAGCATATATCCCTTTGAAGAGCCTATGAAAATCAAACTTCTTACATTGTAGTCTATATGACCAGCTCCCCCCCCCCCCCCCCCCCCCCCCCCTCCTCTCTTCCTCTCTCCCCCCTTTCCTCCCCCCCTCCCTCTCTCCCCTCTCCTCTCTCTCTCCCTGCTGGTAAAATATATGGTGTGCTGTAACACGGCATTTCCTCACCACTTGCCTTCCACAAGCCGCGGCAAGTACTGATACCTGTTTTTAAGCAATGCAGCATCTGCTGTAGCCTCGTCTCACAAACGAGAGCGAGAAAAAAAAAAGCAGCAGAAAAACTGCACCAGCCCCGTCGAGCACTTCGCATTTTTGCAGTGTGAGAGGAGGCAAGACTGCAGGAATCTCGAGGATTTGCGACGTGTCTGCTCTCTCGGGAAAGACGAGATTGTAAAAATGAATAGGTTGAAAATAGCGTGCGAGTGGAGTTAAAGGGGCTACGAGATAATAAAAGAGTCTGCTGTAATTTGAGGCTTGTAGGAGGCAGCTCTGAGCCAGCCAGTCGCCTAAAGCCCAACAATGCAAACTTGAGTTTACAAATTTATGCAAAAAAGGGGCCTGATTGGCATTACTCCATCAGTGACCGTATTGAGTATGTAGGCTAAGAATCAAAAGGAGAGGCAGCCTGACGGAGGCCTTGATGCTTTTAGGGCCTATGCATCACTGAGAAGAGAATAAGGGGGAACTGACAGGGTCTGAAGCTTTTGTGTTACCAGCATTCAATTGCGCCTCTCAGTGGGAAGGATAACTGTCCACGTGCCAGCCTCAATAGGCATACATCGATGAGTGGCATTGCAAATTCAACACAACCTGTGGCTATGACAGCTCGTGGATGTGACAAAGAAAAAGGGGAGAGCAGCTTAAAATGCAAAAAAAAAAAAAAGAAAGAAAGAAAGAAGAGAGCTCCGTAGATGTTGGGTCCACATCAAAGTGTTTGACCACAACAGTCGCTGCTAACGCGCTCCAGCTCCGCTCACACCCAAGTGTCAACTTTTAGAAATATTTAACTCTATTCAAATCAAATGAAATTTAAAAGTCATGTTATATGTATTTTTTTTACGCATCAGGCGAACCCTCCTGCGCGCGCATGCACGTGTGCGCACGCGTGCACGCGCAACCCCCGGACAAAGCACAAAGGGAAGCAGAGGAAATGAGCAGAGGTGAAAGTATTTAAAGATTAAAAAACAAAAAAAAAAACAACAAAGCTGCTATGGAGAAAAGTCACAGAAGTTTCTAAAGAGATAACGGCCCGTATGTTCCGGTGGATTTGGGAGATTTGAGATGTTCATATGTTCAGGCAGGGTGTCAGTCAGGCTGCGTTCATGACAAACACGGATGGAAAGGGCATTCTTTAGGAGGAGATGGTGCTATGGAAATATTCCTCAATAAAAACAAGATTGTAGGTGCGAGCTGATGGAGGTGGACCGGAGGCTCAGGGTGGGAGAGCAACAAAAAAAGAAAAAGGAAAAAAACAAAAACCGCCGGACTGGTTTAGAAAATGAACATTAAACAGGTGTTTTTCTTTAGTTAAATTTAGACAAACTTAGAGCCAGAGTGCCACATGCAGGGCCTGGAGGTCCAGCGACCGCAGCTCGGATACAAACAGGACTGAAGGCTTCTTAACTCACTTTAGCCTCTTTTATTTCTAAAAGAAAAACTTTTTTCATGTGTTTTTATTAATTTTCCAGGTGTAGCTTGTTCTAAGAAGGAAGAAAGAAAGTTTTATTTAAATTCTAAAGAAATATGCAAATTCTCATCGTCGTATTTTTTTTCAGTATTTGTTTTTTCTTTTCTTTTTTGTTGGTAATAATCGATCGAAGCTCAGAGTTGCGGCTGCGCTGTTTACCTCCACATCACACATGAGCGCAGGCTGGTGTCCGGCTCCTCGTGTTTCCAGGGTGGATAAGGGCAGCACAGCCAGGTGCAATGGGAGCGCCCTCTTATGTTCAGCCTGACCACTGGGATCAAGCAGCGCATCAACTCTTTCACAGGAGCCAAGCGCCTGCGGACCAACTGGTCTTTTGCGCACACACACATAAAAAAGAGCGCACCTTTTTTTTTTTTTTGTGCCTTTCAGCTTATCATTATATATTAAACTGGCTCGCATGTAAATGTTGTGAACCAACACGCTCGGGTTATTAGGTGGACAAAAGAGGTGAAGGCTATCCACAGCGGGAAATCACAGATATTACAGAGAAACGTTTCATCATCACAAATAAATAATAATAATAATAATATTAATAATAATAAAAACAGCAGTGACACATTCAGGTTTATAAAACAGACTTTTAGGGCGTGAACTCACATCCAACTTGAACTTGGCCTAATTAGTGCAGCTGATGCACAGATTCAGGGAAGATGTTTTTTACTAAATATATTTAATTTGAAATCGTTTTATTTTTATTTAAACAGTGGTTTTATTGTGT